TAGAAAAAAAAAAATGGTGGGGCCTGGATTAATTTTTGATTCCATGATTAAATAGTACTTATCACTAAAGGTGGGTATTTCACTTATCTGGCTAGGAAACAGTGCAATAAATTCCTTTACATCAAGAATGATAGTAGAGTTCTATTTTCCTTTCTTTTCCTGAAGTGAAAAAGGAACTGAGGAAATCTTCTATGTTGGACTGAAAATTTTGGTTCATGATCTCAAGTTTTATAAAGTAAGATTATGAAAAGAGATCTGTGTTTCAGCTTGTTATTAAATAATTCTGAATTCAGATCCAGGTTCACATAACACATCTCTCTGTACACTCCCCAGTTTTCAGCCAGGAGTGATTTGAAATAGAAACAAGACATATACTTGAATATATGTGAGTTTTATAAATTCCTAGTCTGCCTGTGCTACCTATTTCTGAATTATTCTGGAAGATCCCATTTATTCTCCACATCCTCAGGTGGCTGTTAGGAATCTCATGGATGCTCACCAGAAGATACAGATGAGAAGACTTTAAATGACAAATTTTGTATTTGAAAACCAGCAACTTTTTCTTGGTTTATTCATCACAAAGATCCTTAGTTGCATGTCAGCCATCAAAGGACATTGTTAGTATGCATTGTTCCAACTCTGTCAGTTCTATCAGCATAAAAGATTGGTTGGCAGGGCTTTGTTGCTGTCAGGAAGCCCATAGGACTTGAAGAGACTTAACAGGTCATGAAGTGCTCCCGAGGCACTGCTTCATATCCCTTTCATAAATATTTTCATCTGAATCCTAAAAACAAAGATTAACTTTTTAGCTTTGCCTGTTTTGAGTTGAAGGCTCTTTCACAGTCTCACTTTACTGATAGTTATGAACTTTAAAATTTCCACCCAAAATGTCTTCATTGCTGCAAATCTGTTCTTCTGCAGTGTTGTCAGTTTGAGAAGTTCTTCTCTTTCTTCCTGCTTCATTCTCTCATTTCCTCTCTCCCCATTCACTTACACACAAAGACACTGTCAGCCTTCATTTTTGCCAGATTCACTGAGCTGATGTTTTTCTAGTGCCATCTCAGATGACCACTACAGTCTCCTCACCAGCATACAGCCCCTCTCTTGCAGTTTGGGTTCATAAGTGACCTGTACAGTACATGGTCTCACAGATGAAACCTTGCTGGTGTCTTGTGCAGAAACACCCAGGTGTCCCTGGTTTTACCAGGTGTATGTGGTGGTGCACCGTACAACTGGGTCTGTCACTGTCTTGACTACCTCACCTTGTGGGTCAATCTAGGTGAGATACTAATATCTCAGGTGCACCCAGGAAGTGTCTTCTTTCCAATAACTGTTTCTCCTTTTGTCTTACAGCTTCTGTGCTTATCCTTATTTTCTTCATAACTAGTAACCATTTAGCATTGTTGAAGGTTTTCAGAGATCTGAAGAGATGAGTTCAAATTTATATCAGACTTCTAAAAAAAATATCAAAGAAGGATGTCATGTATGTCTGGCATGACATCCATGTTTTCTTTTACCCCATTTTCCAAGACTTTAGTTCATAGAATAATAGAATATATTGAGTTGGGAGGAACTCCTAAGGATCACAGAGTCCAGCTCCTGGCCCTGCACAGGACAGCCCGAGGATCACACCCTGTGCCTGATTTTGCTTGAAAAACAAATGTAAATACATATTTACTTATTTTTTAATGTTATGTTAAATACTGTAGTTTGATGTTATAAAAAGAATTCTCTGTACTCTATCTGGTTGTGAAATGGGCAGTTGTACTTTAGAGGTTCTTTTCTCAGTGGGCAAACATTCAAAATAAAGCAATATCTTTGAATATTCTGAGCTGTTTCCATTCCACTGAAGAGGAAGCTAATTTGGCATCTCAGATGCCTTTCAAAGGGGCCTGTGATGTGCTGCTGAAAGGAAGTGTTTTATTATAGTTTTTCATTGCTATGCATAGCTGTGCACATACTGTAACTGAATAAAAATGCAGTAATAGAATGTACATAGAGTTATTTGAATGTCTATCCATGTGCATGCATGCGTAATGCACATGCACGTATAGGTTCGTATTTACGTGCATAGTAGTGCATGGAATGTCAAAATTTGACCTTAGATGTCAGAATTGTAATTGTTTCACTTCAGGCCTTTCCAATTGAACAGCCAGCTGTTGTGGGAAACTACCTGAGTGTTTGCACCGTTTTTCCACTCCATCCTCTCTCTTATATTTTTGGAGCTGAGGGAGTGTGTGAAGCACCTAGAGGCAACTCCTCTTCACTCTGCTTTCTTCCTGGCAGTCTTCCTCCTGCTGTCTCTGTGGTAACCAGAGACAGGACCTGAGGAAATGGCCTGAAGTTTTGTCAGGGGAGGTTTAGGTTAGCTATTGGAATAATGCTCTTCATGCAGAGGGTGTTTGGGCACTGGAACAGGCTCCCCAGGGCTGTGGTCAAAGCATCAAGCTCCTTCAAGAAGTGTTTAGGAAAATGCCCTCAGGTACATGGTGTGACTCCTGGGGATGGTCCTGTGCAGAGCTGGGAGTTGGATTAGATGAACCTTGTGCATCTCTTCCAGTTCAGCTTATTCTGTGATTCTGTGATAATCACAGGCAAGGGAATTCAGGTTTTGTTAGAGTGCATCAGGCATGTGGGATGTGACTTGTCCCTCTTTTCTCCAGGAGATAATCCCACAGAGAATGGTAATTAACATGGAAGAGGGGAAAGTGCTACTACAGCTACTACAGTTTTCCTACTTGGAGAATTCACAAAGTATTCATAGTATCATATCCTGAGGTGGCTTTGCCAGCTTCATAAAACAGAAGGGAAAACATTAACATTTGGACTGGTCTGATGTTCCCTAACTGTATTTGTGGTCTTTATGTGCCTGCCTTTATTTTTCACTTTCAAAGAAGAAGGGAGATTATGTTTGGTTTAAATGCTGAAGCCCATAAAAATAATAGCTGTCTGTAGGTAATAATGGTTGTATTTGAAGAACCAGATATGGGGACATTCTTAATTTGGCCCACATCAGAATCAGATGAGAAAGAGTTGCAAGACTAAGCATCTAAGCATGGTCCTGTCTGCAAATTACATACAATTGCAAATGAAACTACCTACTCTACAGACAACCTTAGCATTTAAAGTGCTACAGGAAGATCATGTGAGCCTTGATGCTGCAGCAGAATTTGCTGTCAAATCTTTTGGATACTCAGACACTGCAGAGCTCAAACTTCTGCTGCTTGATATTGCTATTCTTACACTTAGGAATAAACGTCCCAGTTCTGTATGTTTACATGTTATTCAATACTGTCTGGCTTTGCAGGGAAATGTGAGCAGTTTTGGAGAATGTGAACTTCCTTGTTTCCCTTGTAGTCTCTCTTGGAGTTTGTAAAACCTGCTCACTACTTCCCCACTGACTGATAGGCACCACCAACCAGAATTCATATGCCATAACCCTTACAAATGCTGAAATATTTGGCAGAATTAGGGCATGCCCTTTGGAAAAAATGGGATTTTTATCTGTATTTGGATGTATCTGACAGAAGGCTGCCTATCATGGGCTGTAAGGGTGCAGTATTTGATAGGGCTTCGGGAATTTAGGCACTGAGGTGTGTGAGGTTCCACAGCACATTGCGTGACAGGCCTCACAGGGAGCTTGGATGAAAGGAAGCTGGCAGGTGGGCTCTGTGTCCTCAGCCCTCACAAGTCAGGCTCTGCCAGACTGGTCTGCTGGGAGCACATCCCTGCTGAAGCTCAAGCAGAGCTGAAGGGAAACCATCCACCCCAAACCATGTCCCCAGGGAACAGGAAGGCAGGGAGGCTCTCCCAGAGTAGACGGCCACCACTGGGAGGGCTGGTTTCCAGATCACAGCCTTTTCTAGCTGTGGAAGAGGTGAGCAAGAACCGTATTTCTGGTTTGTTCAGCAGCTCTGTGCTGGAGGCAGAGCAGCAGCCTTCTCTCTGCTTCAGCCACTACTGTCAGTGACACCTGCAGGGCCACGTGGGCACCGTCAGATCAGTGTTTGTGCTGATTACATTTTGGGCAGAGTGTATTAAATTTGTCATTAAAATGTCACTTTCATGCAGGTGACAGCATGAGGGTTATTTTAGGCAAGCTGTGGAGGAACAGTGCTTGGCAATGAGCAAAAATTAAACAGGCAAGCAATAAAGCTGGGCACATTTATGTGAGTTTGCCACCTACAGGTCCCACATTCCCTATTCTGCCCATTTCTGTCTCTGCAGTTCTGCTGCATCTCATTTCCCCTAGAGGATGGTTCTACCATAGTGGAGCCAGCTATGCATATGAATGAAAAACTATAATAAAACACTTACTTTCAGCAGCACATCACAGGTTTATTTCAGGTGTCACCCTAACACCAAGCTAAACTCAATTGGACTGTACATTCACCCTGAGGGAATTCCAGTTCCTATTTTGATATTTCAAGGACAAGATGCTTGAATAAAGCTTGACATGGTCGTTACCCCTTTTGCAGAAGAGGACATCCAGGTACTTGCAATGGCATGTTACCATCCCCAGTGCGATGACACATGAGTGGACATGCTGCTTCCAGGAGCTGGGTGAAGATAGTGGGTGGAGTTCTTGGAGAAGCCAAGGGGGCATATCTGTGGAATGGCTAATGGCAATTAAAAATTCCCTCTATATGGCAGTAGCAGTTTTATTCAAAAAACAAAATCGTCTTAGAGTGCAAAAGCCTGAACCAGCAGGAATGGTTAAGCTTAACAGGATGCCAATAAGACAAGCAAAACGTACTGCTTTCATGATAGTGTTTTTTTAGGACCTGTAAATCCTTTTAAAATTGCAGCATGATCTATATATGTGTATGAGAATATCTTAACTACTTAGAAGTGACAGGGCTAGATCAATAACTTCATGTTATTTCTGAAGTATGCTTTATGACTTCTGAAAGTTAAATCTGGCGAGAAGTTTTTGCAGATTTGAGCTTTGATCAGTATGTTATAAAGATGCATACTTACATCATGTATTTGCTTTGCAGCTCCTGGTTGCTAAATCCCCTGTTGCTCCATTCTCCACTTTTTTCTACACCATTGAGAAATCAGGCTTGGTTCTTCAAGGTAGGACCAGACCATTGGTTATTTTGCCTTTTCAATTAGTATTTTAAGCAGACTGAATGTAGGTAACAACAACTATTGTTGAAAATGGTGCTGTTCATACTGAATTAAAACCCCACACATTTAAACATTCTGGTTAACAAGGGGATTATTCTACTGAATTCACTGTTTTTTCTTGGATTACACTAAATTAGTTCTTGCCTGTTGCCATGGATCTAGAAATGGGCCTTGAAATTATTAACCAGGGCTCCCTGTTTTTCTCCAAGGTAAAGTGGAATGGTTTGGGTCCTATGGGATAGGTTTCTTCAGGATAAACATACCCATCTGTCATTAAAACATACTGTAAAAAATGGTTCTTCTTTAGCAAATGGCTTGGCATCCTTAAAAATGCAGGGAATTAATATCTGTTTTCTATTTTTGTGATAATTTTAATGCTAATGCCCTATGGTCTTAAATTATCCTCAAATTCTCTAGGATATGAAGTGGTATACTGAAAAGCTGGATATTACTGCCATGCTGACAGGGAACTAGAATCCCTCCTGGCTGTGTCCTGAATCATGTACTTTTAGACACAGCAAAGAGGGAAGTTCAACTCTTCCCTTCTTTTCCCATTTATCCCAACAAACATCTTACTTTTTGACAAACAATCATAGATCAATTTTGTTGAGTTTTCCCATTTCAGAAACAGAGAATTTGTTCAGAGACAATCTTAATTTTTCAGCTCTTTTCTGTGAGCCATGAATATAGCTTTCCCAAGACTGAACCATACCTTTAAAGAACAAATAGGCCTGGTTGCACATAATGATGGAGCAGCATTCTGATAGAAGGATATCACTGGATTAAAAGTGTGGCAACTGCTCTTTTCCCTATACCCGTATGTTTCTGGGGTATACATTTAAAACATCATTTGCCATTTTTCTACAAACAGATAAAATAGCAGTTTGGATTTCTTTAAGTAATTGATGTCTTGATATCAGGCATTCTTTGTGCATTTTGAAAGGCAACAAGACCATCTTCTCTGTGTGAGCCCTCGATTAGTTTCTGGCTACATCAATATGTTTCTATTTTTGATATTTTTCTCCAAGATGGGTAGCAAGGAAGGGTATGGTTCCCCAGACTCTTTTACAGAGACTTGTAAACACACATGAACCATCTCACTGATTTGTCAAAGTAAATATTGCATGGTCTCATCCCGCATTTCAGTGATCATTATTTCTGTGGAAACAGGAAGTGAGCAAATCACCAGGAAATGTCTGGTTTGGATAAGATGCAGACGGTGGCACCAGGCTTCCTTGTTCTAGAGAGGCTAGAGTTTTTCTGGAAGCTGTACTTGGTGCTTCTTTCCAAAGGGAAGCTGGATGCAAGGGAAGATGACAGTCAGGCAAGCAGCCACGGGCCAGCCGGTGCGTGTCTGAGGGCACCACGAAGCGCTGACCAGTGGGCTCTGTCCCCAGCCTGGCCGCAAAGGCACCTCTCCCGTTCCGCCTTTGTAGTTTAATTCCCTTGGAGTCAGGAGGGGAGCACACTGAGGGTGGCTGATGGGAACAAGTGGGTGGATGTGGGAACTGGTGAGAAGCAGCAGCTGGCTGAAGTGCCCAGGATTCTTTCATTTTACTCAGGGGGTCCCATCCCAGGACCATTAACCAATAGGCCATAAACAAATTGATATCGGAAAATGTGGCTGGAAGCTCCCTGATTAGCGAGGGTGAATGGGGAACGAAAGACAAAGTGAAAGTGTGATTTAACAGTTCCACAAGCAATTTCCATTGCCACCTCTGAGAGATTAGGATGTGTGGAATAGGCTAAAAAAAAAAAAAAAAAAAAAAAAGAGGAGGAGCTCTCCCCCGCTTTGTTCTGTGGGCTGGAGGATAATAAAACGGCAGGAGAGGCAGCGGCTAGTTAGGGATTTCACAGACTGCTATTTGATGCAGTTTAAGGAGCCCTTCTGCTATTGTTGCAGTTAAAATGGGAAGCGGAACTGTTCTCCATTTGCAAAAATCTCCAGCGTCCTCAGGAAGAGGGCTGAGAGCAAAAGGCTATTAAGATGGTAATGCTGCCCCATTTGGAGGAGTGTATCAAAATCCTCTTTGTCAATGTAAATTGCTGCTCTGTTTCCCTGGTATCTTTGCATCTCATGGCCTCAGTGCAAGCACAGAATTTTTTGGGGGAGATCCTAGTGAAGACAGAACTGCTTCACTTTTATTATCAGAGGAGATCTCCAGGCTGCCCAAGGGTCCCTTGGAGAAAACTTCTTTGCTTTTATAAATCTGAAGTGTTCAGGGATTAAGAGAATCCATTTATGCACTCATTCTCTTATTTCCACTTTCAGACTAGAGAAATGAAATGTGATGATTGAAAAGCAAGATTGGAGAATCATAAATTTAGCAAAGAAAAGTCTGCAGCCTCCTCCTTTAATTGTTTCAAATTGCTCTGTGCTATAGGGGGGGTGGACTGCAACCCTAAAAATACCCTCAGTTGCCTTAACATTGCAATGCAGTGTCATATTATGTTCTGCCAGTGTCATTCTTTGATGAACCTGAATTGTGAGTGTAGAATCCAGTCTGACAGCCAATCTCTATTTCATAGAGATCTTAGACAAAAAGGCAGAAATCTGGATCAAGCACAGCAAAATATTGGAAGTTTTACTGTCAGCTTGTGTTTGCTGTTCTAAGAACTTGCTGTCGCTTCCCTAGTTCAATATACCAGTGGCAGTGAGTGGAGTCATACCGTTAAAAAGAAGAATACAATTAAAAGAGCTTCAGATCTACTTGATTAAGAGTAAAAGTTGTAACATTATTTTTCTCCTTGGCTATGAAATAACTTCTGTTTTAATTGGAAGTTGCTAACTGGTAATTCTGTTCTGGTACAACAGAAGAAATTTTGAGCTGCTCTTGCCGAATTGTAGTTTCATTGAAATTGAATGTAGCACTGCTGGGTTAGGCCAGCTGAACTAGAAGATGCTACTTAGCTTTGTGCATACATATGCGAAAAAGATAGGCTGAATGAAACTGATTTGAACCTGTATGCTATGGGTGATCATCCAAGTCTAGCTTTCAAAGCAGCAGTGTTCTGGAGTATAAATACAAGTAGGCAAGAAGCCTAGCTGTTACCTACCAACAACTCAGCTATTTGAGGAAGTCTCATTCCATCTTACTTAAGCAAATGCCTTCTGTTACCAAGAAGATGGTGCTGCAAAAGGAGACAGGGACACGGTGGCTGTTTGCCAGCTGAAGAGTCTTTTGGGACTGAATGTTTTAACTAAGTGATTAACATTGCTCTTCATGGAAAAACTCAGAAGCACTGAAAACATAAGGCAAATTATATTAGCGAGCTAGGATGTGCTTTTGAATAATAATATATTTTCAGTTTCATAGGGTTTAAAGATGGATAGAATTATCAGTTCATCCAAACTGACCTCCCATATATCATACATGTTCCTTCAGGTACCTGGTTTGCCTCACAGTGTTTTCAAGTTTTAGCTACCTTGCTGCAAAACCCTTGTTCTGTATTTCAGATTAGAATTTGTCTGCCTTCAGCTTTCATCCTCAGGTCTTGTAATGACCTTCAGTGCTAAAAATAAGCAGTAATACTGTTAAATGGTTGCCATTTTTCATGAGTGTACTTGGCATAATGATTTATCTTGCTATGTTTTACTCTTCCTTTTTGAAAGTATAACTGGCTATAAATTTAACCTCAAAATGTTATGTCTCCTGCTGACTGGCTCCCCTTACTTCTCAAAGAAAGAATAGAATACCTTGTATTGCTAAAGGGAAGAGTTTAGGGGTGTGCTACAGGACTGGATAGTTAGTTTATTAATCCACCCCTTCTGCTGCCCTCTTTTTCACTGCACACAACCTGTCTGAACACAAATGTACTCACCTTGCATGTAATGTCCTATTGAGGCAGGTAACTTATTATATGTAGAAACAAAAGAATGTGACACTTGGAAGAGAGTGTCTTTTAAGTTTCACAGTAGTAAGGGAAAAGATCTAGTAACAGCTAAATCTAGGGAAACCTTAGTACATTATGTTTCATTTGTCACTAAGGTAATGAAAGAGGCTCATTTTGATCTCAAAATAGCATAGGGTCTGGGTTTGTAGTGCAGCATGGCAAACTGTCTCCAAAGTGCAATAACTAATTTCTATGGCTGAAGCGAGTGAAAAGTGCCTCATTTTATTTTGTAAAGAAACAAGTAGTGAGGTAGAAAAGGAATTCTGAAAGAAAGGGCAGCGTTATTTGTATTGTATTGTGTTGGTTTGAACAGTGAAAGACAATGATTTACTGCATCAAAAGGTTTTATTCAATTGAAGAACTGTAACTATAAAGTGACCTTTGTCTGGAGCAACATGGATATAATCTGTAAAATGAAGCAGGGTTGTACTTCATGTGTGAATGGGTGGGAGACAGATTAATGGGAATAGAGTTGTGCATTGCTATTGAGATGGTAAAAGATTTGCAGTGCCACTGGTGATTTCCAGCCCTATTGGAGGGATAAAGATGAACTGATCATTGTTAGAATCTCTGTGGGGTAGAACCATTTTTGCTGTATTCCCCACAGGACACTGAAAGTCTCTTGCCATTTTTAACAGGTTTGTAATAATGAGAGCAAAGAAGCACTATCAATTTATAGGTTAAGTCTGTCCTGGGAGTAAGGCATGAGAAAAAATAAGACTGCCAGCAACATCACCCACACAGATAGAGCTGACATGAATGAAAATGTTCTTTTGTTCAGGCAATTCATGGCATTTTGAGGAGTGGGTTACTAAACCTGGCCCAGGAATGGTATTTGCTTGGGAGAGGGTGTCCTCACTAGATAGGTTTGTGGGAATTGCTCTACTGCTCTGCAACAGCACTGCCAAAACCTTGGTGGAGGAGCCAAACTCCATGGCTGTCAAAAGAAGGAGGACAGAGAAACAGGGCACAGATGCAAAACCAAATAAAATGTTTATTATGAGAAATGGAAGGAAAACATTTTAATGGTGAAGGAAGACTAGAGGCCTCTT